AGTCCCAGAGTCCCAGTGCCTGGCAGGGTAAATGCGGACTGCCATGCTTGTGTTTATCCCTTGAGCTGTAATCAGGTCAGAGTGAAGTGTAAGGTGTTATCACATTTCTCAACGCGATTATATGCTTTCCAATATGGGTTGGTAATTTGTGGCTTTCTTTATTTTGATCTTTTAAAACTTTCATCTCGGTTGTTCTCTGGGAACAAAATCTCTTCCTTGGGGAAAAGTCTGCTCTTGAGGGAGGAGAGATACTGGTGTTGCAATAGAGGAGAATACGTATTAAACACCTGACATGTAGTAGGCATTTGAGTTTCCTTCTTTCCACCTCCCTCTTTATGTCTCCATATTCACAGACAGTAGCACAATATGTTGAATATAGTAAAAGGCTCAGGAACCGACTGTTGAATAAATGAATGAATATGATAGGAACCCTTTCCCCCAAATCCTAACCCAGAACAGTTTGAGAAAGGATACAAGATTTACAGAGGATCATGGGGCCAAATTAAGTAAACAAGTGGGCTGTAAAGGATAGTGATAATAACAACAAGCCTAACCCTGAGAGCTACCATTCACTGAGTGTTTCCCAGGAGCCAGTTGCTGTGCCAAGCACTGACAGCCACCCTTTGGAGTGGATAACATTATCATCTCCAATTTACAGATTATGAAAGTGAGGATCAGGGAGGTCATATGATCCCCTTAAGGCCCCACAGACTAGACAAAGTTCCATCCCATTTGTGTAGCATTTGTAGTTAGTAAAGACTTTGATGCTTCTTGGAGGTTGCTGCAACTCTGTGAGGCAGGTGGAGCTGCATTGGTTGGCTTGGGGGGTAGGGAGGCAGCACTGTTCCAAAGCCTGGCTGTGGATGTGTGTCTGAGTGTGTATCTCCCAGCATCTAGAAGTTCTGGGGATTGTGGAGATGGCTCAAGGAGTAGGTTAGAGGATGTGTTTATGCCTTGTGCATGGGCTGTGTCCTCTGCACAGTTCTCTTAGTGACTAGTATAGTTGCATGCAAGATGCCAGCCAGTTCTGTTGTGTCATTTGCAACAGATGGAAAGGGCTTCATTCACTCAGCAGATATTTATTAAAAGCCTCCTTGGCATGGGTGCCAAGTCCTGTGCAAAGTGCTGAGGGTTCTGCAGTGAAAAAAGTCGTGGAGTATATGCTAAGGAGGGCACAATCTAACTGGCAGAGTAACAGGAAAAAAGCCAAGAGAACATTGAGTGTTAGGGGCTGGGGGAGCATGCATGCAGAGCCCTTACCTAGCCTGAGACTCAGGGAAAGCCTTCTTTGAATAACTGTCACCTAACTTGTAACTTGGACTGAACAGTTAGCCTGTCCTTGTCCGAAATGAAGTGAGGATTAGGGGGAAAGGCAGAGAGGGAGGAGTGGAAGTGATCAAGCAGAAGGGATATTATGTATAAAGATTAAAGATCCAGACTCTGAGAGTATGAAGACTTCAAGGAACTTAAAGTGGTTAATTCTGGCTGGAGGGTAGACTGCAAGGAGAAGAAGGATATTAGATGAGGCTGGAAGGGAGGCAGAGGCTAAGTCATTTGTAAGGGGTTCTATAAGGGCAGGGTGTGGACTTTAGACCTTATCCTCAAAGCCGTGGAGAGACACTAAAGGAGGTTAAGCCGTAGGATGGAGGGGTGATAGTGGTGGTGAGGTGGCAAGGGAATTATTGGGTCTGAGGTGTGTGTTAGACAAGACTCTCTGACAGCAGTGAGAGAGTGGAAGGAGAAGGACAAGAACAAGCACAGCATGTCCGGTGCAATCATCTGCTTTGAGATTATGGGTCCTGAATTATAGTAGAGAAACCAGGGGTGGAGTAGAGCGGATGACCTGAGAGAGATTTAGGAGCTGAAATTATTAACACATGAAAACTAACTGGATATTGAGCCTGAAGAAGAGGAGGCATCAAAGATAACAGCCAGGCAGGCATCTGACTTGAATGACTAGAGGAATGTGGGTAAAATTTCTG